CGGCTGCGCTGGCGGCGCTTGCGGGCCCGGTGGTGAGTCGGACCCCGAGCTGCAGGCGCGGGGTGGCCCCAGGAGGGCCGAGGGTGACCGCCTTTCTGCTCCTCGCAGTTCCTGGCGCAGCTGATGATCTTTCTCATCAGCATCGTCAGTTCCATCTTCTGCGGACACCTGGGCAAAGTCGAGCTGGACGCCGTGACACTCGCTGTTTCCGTAGGTGTTATTAACTTTGTTTGGGCTGATGACGTGGGTAAAGCCTCCGGAGTAAAGCTTTAACGTGTTTTTATTTGTGTTTTTATTTGTTTGCTGGAGATGAACGCAGGGCTGTGTGTGTGTATGTGCGAGTGCGCGCGTGCTCGGCACACCTCCAACCTCAAGCCTCAGAATTAGAAGTGCAGGGACTGGGTCTGACCCACCATTACCATGATGATCTTCCGATTTGGGAAGAGAATCTGAGCAGATCTCACAGGCACTGTGGAAGGAGTGTCCCAAGCAGAGGCATGGTGCACAGCTACCCTAGAAGAATGCCACACCCTCCCCCGCCTTCTGAAACCAAACCACCAAAGCTATTAGTTCATTAAGATTCCACTATTTGTCTTGTAATGTGTCTTTCTTAGCATCACACGTCCTTAGAAGTCTTTCTCCATCTGATAAGGGAAGGAAAAGCTGCTTTGCTCCCATTTGGTCTGCTCTTTCAGATGTCAGGAAAAGTCCTCCTGGTGATGGAAAACTGGGTCCTCCCCTATTTCAGAAAACGTTCCTTCTACCACCCCCCACCCCCACCCCTCAGGATGTTGGAATGCAACAATGGAGGCCTGCAGTTTCTCTGTGAGCATCATGGCAGAGGACCTGGCTATGAAGAGTCTCTGTATAGGTCTATTACTGTATTGGCAGAATCAATGCTCTGTCTGTCTGTCTGTCTGTCTGTCTCTCTCTCTCTCTCTCTCTCTCTCTCTCTGTGTGTGTGTGTGTGTGTGTCTGTGTGTGTGTCCCCAGTGTCTTCTCCAGGGAAGATGAGCTTGCCACTGAGAAGCACTGGACAATGTCGACAGTGTCCTGGTCATTTAGTGTGAACAGTGTTGACAGGTGACCTTTAGAGACCTGGTGTTTTCCCAGCCAGGAAGCTCCGTTTTGGGCATCCCATCCCATCCTGTGCTTTTTCCTCGTATCCAGTCAGCCACCTCAATCCCTGCAGCCTCTTTTCTCTCCCACCCTTTGGTGTTTCGGGGTGTGGCTTGACCACTCTCATCTACCTCACTGACTCCAACTCTCCTGCAGTCTCCTTCCAGTAGGAAAGAATGCTTGGCCTCACATTTCTGGGTTCTCCTCAGCCCCTTGCCCTCCAGCCCTGTCAGGTCCTCACCCATCCTGCCTGCTCTTGACCTAGGGAGTCCTTCTACCAGGAGGCCTTAACCTTCGACTGCTTCTGAGACCCTGCTGGGTTCCTGGCCCAACACTAAGCTGGGAGCTCACCCTCCTCTCCTTCCTCTTTCCCATCCTTTGGGATCCAGCATGCACCTTCCACCACACTCTGGAACCTTGCTTTCTCCTCCAAGCCCGTCTTCTGCTCAACCCCACTCTTGGCAGTAAACATGTCCCGGGGTTTCTATGAACATATCCCACCACCTCTGCCTTCTCTCCCCTTACTCTCTTCGCCAGAGTCTGCACTCAGTCTTGCCTCCTGCAGTCAGATCTCCCCTCTCCCACTGACTGCCAATTCACCTGTACTGGGCGGTTTTGTGTGTCAGCTTGACACCACCTGGAGTCGTCAAAGAAAGGGCCCTCAGCTGAGGAGATGCCTCCTTGAGATCTAGCCGTAAGGCATTTTCTCATTTAGTGATCAAAGGTGGATGGTGCCATCCTTGGGCTCTATAAGAAAGTGGGCTGAGCAAAGCCAGGGAAGTAAGTCAGTAAGCAGAGCCCCTCTGTGGTCTCTACATCAGCTCCTGCTTCCGGGATCCTGCCCTGTTTTGAGTTCCTGTTCTGCCTTCCTTTGGTGATGAGCAGCAATGTGGAAGTGTAATCCTAACAAATCCTTTCCTCCCCGACTTGCTCCTTGGCCATGGTGTTTGGTCGCAGCAATAGTAACCCTAACTAAGACATCACTGACTCTGCCCATGGCTGTCAGGAGAGTTCACCTTTGTGCTCACCACCATGTCCTCCCCCCTCTGGCCGTCCTTCAGGCTGCCACTCCTAGGAACTGCCCACAGTGTCTCAGCACGCCCTTGGCTTGACTACGGCCTCTGATAGTTGCCCTTTTTAAAATTTCTCTGCTTCCCACTTTCTATTTCATTTAAATCAGTTGGTAGCTAATGCCACAGTGAGCAGTCAAATCCCGGACCTGGCACATGCCAGGCAAGCACTCCACCACGGAGCTGTACCCCCAGCCCTCTTCTTTCTCTTCTAAATGCCCTCTGTGTCTCTCAAGTCAGTGCCTCCATCCTTGACAAGGGCTTCCAGTTCTTGTGATGGTTTGCAAAGGGGACCTGCTGGAGACCAGAGGTGAAGCCAAACCAGAACTTGCTGCAGCCGCATCTCCCAGGTTACTGGGAGTTTTCTATTCTGTCTTTGTAGGGGAAAGGATTAAACCCTGAGCCTTACACTTGCACCGTCAGGCCCCTCACCTTACTCCCTCTCCATCCATCAGCTGCCTATGTTTCTTAGAGCCACCCCACCCCATTTCTTCTGCATCCCATATTACTCTCCTGTGAAGGCTTCAGTTTTTCTGCCTCCTGAGGCTTGGGGGTGTGTGTCCTGAGAGCCTTTCTGGTATCCCCAGGAAGACTGAGGTCTTGGCTATGGTCACTAGAGCCTTGCATTCTTTTCTTGGAGGAGCGAGTGTGAGTCCTGCCACAGGTCTGGCTCAACTAAATGTTTTGGAGTCCTGCAGCTTTGCTGTCCTGCCTGCACTCACCAGGCATCCCCTTCTTGTCTCTTCCTGCTGTCCCCCAGCCTCATCTGGCTGGACATTTTCATCCCCTGCTTTGGTGAGGCTTTCAAGCCTTAAAGTTTTGTGTCTGCATCGCATCATGAGGCTTTTTGTTATTTTCCTTGTTTCATTAAAATTATTTTAAGATGTATCTTTTGGGTGAAAACAAACTAAAATAGTGTGTGTGTGTGTGTGTGTGTGTGTGTGTGTGTTGCTGTTGTTTTTGGGCAGTTTCCTTTCCTCTCCCTGTTGATAACTCCAGAGTTTTTGGTGTAAAAACAACAGGATCAAGCACAGCCCACAGTGAGATGGGAGGCTTGGCGGTGGCCGTGGGAGGGCTGGTGTGTTCCACAGCAGGGCTTTCTGCAGATAAGGTCCTGAGGAGGGAGAGCCACTGTCAGTCCTTTGTAAATGGGTCAAGGAGATGTGTTCCTTTCAATGGATGCCAACTTGTAACTAACTGTTGGGAAGATGGGGGACTCAATGGCACCACGATCAGATATGTTAACTTTTATACATTTCATTTTTGAGACAGGCTCTTGCTCAGTAATCCAGGTTGGCCTTGAACTCTCAATATTTTTACCTCCATCGAAATTACAGGCCTAGTAATTTTTGTCTCATCTTTTATTATAATGTTATCCATGGTAAGAGAGAGCTCTAACTTAGCTCAGTCTGGTAGAAACTTGAACAAACGTGAGCTAAAAAGGGTGACTCGCATTCTAAGCCAGCAAAGGCAGTTAGTGTACCACAATAACAGCAGCAACAACAGCAACAACAAAACCAAACACAACAGAACAAAGACCCTCTCGTGTGTGACTTTAAAAAAACAAACAGAATATTTTATAAAGTGAGGTACCCCCCCCCTTGCTTTTCCTTGATTGGTTCGTAGTAGTGTGTACCTTGCATCTGGGTCCTCGTTGTGCCCTGAGGCCCTGGGTTCCATGTCTGGTAGGATAATTTTAGGGCACTCCACATGTGACCTGCTATTGACCTCTTGGGGCTAGGGAGTGTAGATTCCCAGATGTCTTGGTCCATTACTACAATCTCAAAGTATTGGGTCCTGCATAGAGAAAAGGTTTCTTTAGCTCACACTTCAGGACATTAGGAGTGCGGCACCAGCTTCTGCTGAACCCTGCTGGGGGCCTCTTTGCTCCATCATCACATGCAGACGGTGTCATGGCTCATGAGAGGAGCAAGCAGTCACAGGGCAGGAAGCAAGAGCGATTCTGGTACCTGGCTGGCTCTCCTTACAATTCATTCTCCCAGGAACAAATTAGGTCCCAGGAGAACTTTATTTATTTATTTCTGAGATGGTCTCATTGAAGCCCAGCCTAACCTCAAATTTGCTATGCAGTAAAGGGTAGCCCCGAGCCTCTGCTCCTCCTGCCTCCACCTCTCGAGGGCGGGGGTTACAGGCACATGTTAGCATGCCCAGCTCATGAAGTGCTAGATTTTACATTCTAGGATAACACTCTATGTAGTGAGGAGGCCACTAGTTAGGTCCCAGCCACTGAGCCCCGAAATAATCACACAAAAACTGTATTATTTAAATCACTGCTTGGCTCATTAGCTCTAGCTTCTTATTGGCTAACCCTTATATCTTAATTTAACCCATTTTTATTAATCTGTGCATCACCACGAGGTTGTGGCCTACCAGCAAAGTTTTAGCACGTCTGTCTCTGGTGGCAGCTCCATGGTTTCTCCCTGACTCTGCCTCCTTTCTTCCAGCATTCAGTTTAGTTTTCCCCATCTTGCTCTGTTTCTCTATAGCTCTACTATAGGTCCAAAGCAGTTTATTTATTAACCAATGAAATCCACAGCATATAGAAGAGAATCCCACATTAATTCTGTCTACTGAGCTACATCTTCTGCCCCCTGTGAGAACTGTATTAGCCCCCTCTGAGGCTGGCATCCCAGTGACTTATTCACCCTCCATTAAATGCCATTTCTTGAAGGCCCCACTACCTCCCAAGTACATCATACAAAGGACCAAACTTTCAGCACATACACCATTGAGGACCACATTTCATTGGGTCTTGGTAAGCAAAGCGGTTAATTTTCCTGACGTTGACATCAGCTGCTACATGTGAGAACCAGGATGAAGAAGTGTACTGCACTTTCCTCTCTTCTCTGCTGGCCTGAACAACAGCACTCTCAGCCCCACCCCTCAACCTAAGGGCTAATCTCTGGGTAGTGGGGAGAGGATGAGATCTGCTTGAGAGGGTGGCATAAACCCAATCCTTACCAGACTTCTAAAGCCTTTGGTCTGCAGTCAGACTTCCCAGCTTTGGGTCACACCAAGTCACCTAGTTTACTATATAGTAGATATATAGTAAGTTTTCTGTTGCCCAGGCTACACCTAAAACGGGAAACTATAACGCTATGTACATGTGACTTAGGACAATGCTTGGCACACAGTATATGTTCAATAAACACTGGGTGTTCTCTCTGTGTGTGTGCACATGTTTGTAGGTGCAGCACCCCTGCATGTGCATTCGGAGTACAGAGGAGAAGGTGGGTGATCTGCTTGCTCCCTCTCCCTTACTCTTTTGAGGCAGAGTTTCTTACCAAGACTGGAGAATTATTTCAGCTGGGCTGGAGGGTCGGTGAGCTCCAGGGTCTGCTTGTCTCCATAGCACCCCTGCCTCACACACCAAGTCCTGGAGCTGCAGGTGCATGCAGCTTTTACAGGGGTCCTGGGGATCCAGATCCCAGTTCTCATGCTCACATAGCAAGCACTACTACCACTGAGCTCTCTGCCAAGTCTGGATTTTTAAATAGGTACTTTTCTTTCTTCTGCATGTGTGCGTGCGCTCATTCAACACCCTAACCCTGTTACTTTTGCATGCATATCCTCTGGCAGATGAGGTACATGGCCTTAGACAATAGAAAATCTTTCTGTCTATTTTTTAAAGGTGGGTGGTTTGGGTGAGACTGGTCTTGAGCTCCAGTGATTCTTCCGCCTCCATTCTCCGAGGTGTGGGGACCACAGGACATGCCACGGTGCCTGGCTTTACTTTCCTAACACAGATGCTCTTACATGCTATATTAAGAAAACCTAGGCTTGCTGGGTACAGTGATACTCACCTTTAATCCCAACACTTGTTCGTAAGAGGCAGGAAGATCTCTGTGAGTTTGAGGCTAGCCTGGTCTACAGAGGGAGTTCCAAGCCAGCCAGGGCTACATAGAGAAACCCTGTCTCAAAAGGACAACAAAAGTAGTCTTTAAGCTCCCCTGGTTGGCCTAGGGTGGCTGTGGCCCTTGGTTAGAAAAGGCATTTTTGTTTGATAAGCCTCAAGGATCCATGTGGCCATCTGAACCCCAGGAGCCTGGGTATTCGTGTGGGCGTGCATGCTCTCTGAAAATGAGCTGTTGAGCTGGGTGCAGTGGTTCAGGCCTTTAATCCCAGCACTTGGGAGGCAGAAGCAGGCAGATATCAGTGAGTTCAATATCAACATGATGTATGTAGTGAACTTCAGGACAGGGAGAGTTACATGGCGAGACCCTGAGGATGGGGTGGGGTGTGGGGAACAACAGCAACAATAAAAAAGCAAAAACAAAAACCAACTAAGTAAAAAAAGGCTACACAAGGTAGGTGGCATACGCCTTTAATTCCAACACCGAGGAGACAGAGGTAGGTGGATCTCTGTGGGTTCAAGGGCAACCTGGTCTACGCGGAGAGTTCTAGGACAGCCAGAGCTAAATAAGGAGACCTTGTCTTATAAAACCAAAAGGAGTTGCGGAGGCCCCTTGACTCTCTGCAGCCCCTGTCTGCTGCACTCGGCCTGCTTCTTTCCCTGCAGGTTGTGAATGTCACCGGGATTTCAGTCGGAACTGGCTTGGCCTCAGCTTGTGACACACTGATGTCCCAGGTGAGAACCTCGTTGCTCACATGGATTCTTGGCAGTTGCCTAGGGAACCTCACGCTGGGATTTGGCAGCCCTTTGTGTATGTACTGCACAGTTAGATTTACTAAATCATGTGACCAACAGCTAACTCAGCTGTGACTCTCATGAGGCTTCGTTTGTGACGAAGTGGTGGCACATGCCTTTAGTCCCAGCACTCGGGAGGCAGAGGCAGGCGGATCTCTGTGAGTTCGAGGCCAGCCTGGTCTACAAGAGCTAGTTCCAGGACAGGCTCCAAAACCACAGAGAAACCCTGTCTCAAAAAACAAAACAAAACGAAAAAATTAAGTGGTCTTTGCACTCCAGGTCCTCACCCAGCACTGGGCTCCGTCCCCATCACTGCCCTTTCTGTCACTGCTCCTTCCACTGGGCTTAGCCTTTGCTGGGTCTCCTTGGGGCTTCTCCAATAAAATCGTCAAGTGAACACAAAGCCACCCTTAACTACTGGGCAACCTCAGCGCAGCGGGTCTATTACTTTCTCCACACCCCTATTCTGTGCCTGTCTCCTTCCCAAAGCTTCATTCTGCTCCTCCATGCTCCTTGTGAACAGCCCCAGTTCCCAAGAGCAGGGAACAATTGTCCTAGAGCATATACAACCACAGTGGCAGTTGGCTGTCAGGGACCTGGCAGCTGTCCCCTGCATCTCCCCCATCACCTTCCTCCTGCCCGGTCCCTTGGGCAGTGCTGCAGGGAACATGGTTGTCAGAGCTGCTGGACCTGCTGGAAGTGGGAGGCCGTGGTCCCCATGTTTGCTGAAACATTGTTTTTCCAAGTCCTTTGGAGGCAGGAACCTGAGGCGCGTGGGGGTCATACTCCAAAGGGGCATCCTCATCTTGTTGCTCTGCTGCTTCCCCTGCTGGGCCATCTTCCTCAACACGGAGCACCTGCTCCTGCTCCTGAGGCAGAACCCGGAAGTCGCCAGGTGAGCACTGACTCAGAGTCCCTGGTCAGCAGGAAGCGGCCGACATTCTCAGCTCATTCGCTGGTTGTGAGCACTTGGAACCAGAAGCTGTGGCTGTGGCCACAGAGTAACACACAGGGCCAAGGCAGCACACACTGATGCACTGGGCGGTCCTTCATGTCCATCAGTTTTTTCCCATAGGGAGTCCAACACACAGCTGTCTTCACTGTTGTGTTTTATCAAATTTAACAGTCTAGTGGGGTCGCTATCCTGGGCTTGGTTCTTTTCCAAAGGTTTCTGCATCACATTGTGCTCAACTTGTAACAAGTTTTCCTGCCAGGTCATCCCCTGCTCAACCTTCTCCACACTGAAAAGTGTCTGCCCCCCTTCCCCCAACTTAATGACCCACTCTGCAGCCTTTGGATGCTGCTGGTGCAGAGTACAGAAAACTGCTTTGACCTGGTGTCTTCCAAACAAGTGTTTAGTTTTAATTTTTAGAAGATTACCCCTGAGCTGGACCTGAAGGTAGAGTGACCAGAAACCTCTTCACTGTTGCCTGAAAGCTGTCTTTTTTGTTCTAGGCTAGCCCAGGTTTATGTGATGATTTGCATCCCTGCTCTTCCTGTAAGTTTCCCAACTGCTGTGCTTCTTTATTAGTGTGTAATCATAGAAATACTAATAACAATAATATTAATTAAGTGATGAGTTCCACTGGGACATTTTCATACATGTGCACAATGTACTTTGATCATACACATTTTCCTTTTCCCTTCTCTACCTGGTTCCCGTGATCCTTTTCAGCTTCCCCTGTTCTAACCCCCGCTTCTCAAGTCACATATGAGAGAAAGTAGGTAATAATTGTCCTTCAGAGTCTGGCTTTTTACCTAAACGAGGAGCATAAGTTCCGATCATTTTCCTAAAGATGACATGACAGAATAGTAGTCCATTGTCTTATGTGGGCCTCATTTCCTCTATCTATTTGCCCATTTATGGCCACCAAAACTAAAATTCCATAAAGTGTGATGGCTAATCTCAATGGTTAACTTGATGTGATCTAGAATTGCTTGGGAGACCAGCCTCAGTAATACCTTTGGGGGATCATCTTTATGAGGTTGATTTGAAAGGCCCATCCTCTGTGGGCAGCACCAGGCCTATTCACTATGGGTGGCACCATTCCTTTTCTGGGTTCTCGGACTGCACACAAGGAGAAAGCCAGTTAAGCACAAGCATGCATCTCTCAATGTGTCTTGACTGTGGATGTGACATGACCAGCAGCCTCAGGCTCCTGTAACCAAGGACTTCTGCCGTGATGGACTGTGCTCTTGAATCGTGAGCCAAATGAACCCTTTCAGCTGGGCAGTGGTGGCGCACACCTATAATCCCAGCACTTAGGAGGCAGAGATGGGAGGATCTCTGTGAATTCAAGGCCAGCCTGGTCTACAGGGCAAGTTTCAGGACAGCCAGGATGACACAGAGAAACCTGTCTCAAAAAACCAACCAACCAATCAACCAACCAACAAACAAAACCCCTTCCTCTTACATTATCTTTAATTACATTTTAAAAATTTTGTCCCAGTGGGGTTCAGGTCCCAAAGAAGAGGTGTGGAGTTGGTGAGGGAAGGAGACTGACTTGATCTGAGGGTGAATCAGGATGGCTGCCCATTTATTGAAAATAGGCCACACCTTATATACTCTCTAATTGCACTGTAGTTTAACCACAAGCAGTACTGAAAGCAGACTTCATGATTCCAGGATGAAAGCCGTCATAAGCGTCATTACAGCATTTCCCTTGAAGCAAAAAAACTAAGTTTAGCAAGAATCTAAATGTCTATTGTCCTCTAAGACTCAGAACCCCACCAGGTGCCTTCTTACACTTCCTCCTGTAAGGTCCCAGCCTCTGTGGTCAGAAGGTGCCAGTCCCGAGAAACCAACTCATTCTTCCAGGGGCAGGACCTAGTGTTTGTACCATGCAGCACAGCAGGCATTGAGCTGTTTCCTAACTGCATTCCTTTGGAGAGGGAGTGAAGTGTCCCGCTGATGCCATCAAAAAGTAGCCATGGAACTCCTGGGCAGGGCGACGCTGTCTGCGACCTGCATCCAGAAGGCTGAGGTTGAAGGATACAACATTTTGAGCCAGGCTGAGCTACATAGAAGACAGTTTTAAAAAAGAGGATCCACAGCATAAGGAATCAGCAACAGCAGTGTTGCTGTGACAAATAAGAGGGATTGGAAGGCATGAGAAACCACACCCTGAGCTGCTTTACGGCTCCCCAGCACCCGAGTAGCCCTGACCCAGCCGGGGCTCCTCATCATGGCATGGCACACGTGTGGAGACCAGAGGATGACATGTCCCAATCAGTATCTCCTTCCCCCGTGTGGGTCCTGGGGAGCCTGGCACCCAGATCCTTGTACACAGTATCCCTGAGGATCATGCTCACACCCAAGCCCTTACACTAGGGCACTGGGACTGAGCTTCCCGTCTTCTGGGGGCCCAGCCTGGCTTCACAGCTGCAGTTGGGAGGCTTCTAGCCAAAGATGGCTACAGGCCATGGCTTCTGCCTCACCCCCTCTTCAGACAGTCAAAGTTGGTGGGGCATTTGCTTCAGCCACTTAGAATCCACTCTTCTCTGCTCTTCAGGAAGTGAATCTTTCAGTCACTCATTCTGGTATTTGTTTAGGGTGAATTTGGTTTTCTGAATTTTGATGTCCAAGAATCAGAAAGAGAATATTCTTAAAAAAAAAAAAAAACAGAGTAGGGCTGAGAGATGGCTCAGTGTGCTTTTTCAGAGGTCCTGAGTTCAATTCCCAACAACCACATGGTGGCTCACAACCATCTGTATTGAGATCTGGTACCCTCTTCTGGCCTGCAGGCAGACCACTGTATACATAGTAAATAAATAGATCTTAACCCACCTGCCCCCACAAAAAACCAGAGTAGACAACGATAGCATAGAAGACCCAGAAATATTTTTGTGCAAAGCCTTTTGATCCTTGACAAGGGTGTCAGAACTCACACTGGATGAAGGGTGGCCTCTCTGGTGAGTGGTCCGAGAAAGGCAACTCTCCACATGTAGAGGAATCAAATAGATCCGTATCTCTCATCCAGCACTGAAATCGGTTCGGGAACTGAGTGCACGAGGAAGACACTGCAAGCCAGCACAGGTAAGGGCTCTCTAAACAGCAGACAAGAGCAAAGGAAAGAACCCCAAGGCTCAACAAACGGGACAAGTGAAATTTCAAAGCCTCCAATCCGCAGTGGAAATAGTCATCAGTGGCAGCCCACAGACGGGGAGCAAGTTCTGGCCAATCGCACATCCAACATTCAAATATCTCTCACATCAAAATGGGCTAGTGGACTAAATAAAGGAAGAAATAAAAGTAGTCATTATCTTTAGTTATCAGATAAACACAAATTAAAACTGCCTTGGCATTTTATGTGAACGCAGCGAGACTAGATTTCATCAAAAAACCTAATGACAACAAATGCTGGTGAGGATGTGGGAGCATAAACCGGCCTGGTTGCCATGGAGATCAGCAGGGAAGCTCCTCAAAAAGCTAAAACTGTATTTACTCCAAGATCCCACTCTACCACTGTGGTTATATAACTGAAGGACACCAGCATGTAACAGGCATGCTTGTATATCTATACTTCATTGCTGCCAAGATATGAAACGAGCCTGAATTTCCATCAACAAATGAGTGGATAAAAAGGTATACATGTACACAGTGGAATTTCATTTAACTATGAAGAAAAGTGGAATTATGGGATAGAGGAGATGAGCACTTGCTGCTAATCCTGAACTGAGTGCAATACCCAGAGACTCAGGATGGAAGAGAACCAACTCCTGCCAAGTGTTCTCGGATTTCTACCTGTGTGCTCTGGCACAAGCACGCACGCACACACACACACACACACACACACACACAAATAAAACAGATAAATATAAAAAGGAAACGAAAATGAATAGAACTGGAGACCATTTATTAAGTGAAGTAGCTACCAGACTCAGAGAAACAAATATTGCATCTTTTTTCTCTTTTGCAGAATGTAGATTTACAACTGTGTTTGTGTGTGTATATATGTGTGTATATACATGTGTGTGTTGTGTGTGTGTGTGTATGACACAGAGGTAGAAAGGGCACCATGAGAGCGAGGAGAGAAAGACAGGGAGGTGGAATGCATACCATCAAGACAGAAGATGAATCTGTGGGAGGAAGGGGAGCAGGGCTGGATGAGGGAATAAGAATGAAGTGCATTGATATGTATAGGGAATGCCAAGTGAAGCCCATTCTCTTTTTGGACAGCATACAGGCCAAAGCCTTAATAAAAAATTTCAGAACTTGACGTGTGTGAAAATGCTGTAATAAAATCCACTATTGTATAAAATTAACATTCAAGAGAAACTGAGCTGGGGCTTAGTGGCAGACATTTCGCTGAGTGCAAAGCCCTGGGTTTGATCCACAGAAATGTCAAAACAACAGCAAAACCAGGAACAAAGTAAGCTCTCCTGTTTTCTGTTTCATCTTCCAGGCGGCGTTCCTATTCCAGCTGCAGACACGGTATTTGCAGAGTCAGGTATTCTTTTGTGTTTTTACTGCACACTACTGTGGGAAATGTGGAGTCAATGTTTTAAAGGGATTTTCTGTAGTAATTTTCACCTCGTTTCTCTTTATTCATCTCTGATACATTCACATACTTGGGCAACATGAGCCCAACAAGATGGCTGCCGTGTGGACTCGTCTGTTTGATTCCTCTTACTTTTTCTTGGGTCCCTCTGCGGCCTTCACACCTAACCCTTCCCTACTCTTGCAGCTGACTGCTGGCTTTGCATCTGACCTGGGGACCTTGCCCCAGTTTTGATATTGACTGGGAGGGTCTAGGGTTTCTACAGCGACACTTATAAGTGTGGGTAGGACACTGTGTGCTGCACCCAGGGCGGAAGGGAAACTGAAGGAGGAGAGAGCCAGAAGTGGGTGGGTAGAAACTGGTTCCCTCTTTAGTTAGTGTCCTGTCCCTGGCTACCTCCAGGCAGCTTGCTAGCCTTTAACTATAAAGGTCTCGTCCCTAAGCCAGAGGAAATTTCTCTGCTTTGACAGCCATCAATTCTGTTTGATTGCTGGGAGAGGTTTAATGTGAAGAAAGGGTTTATTTGAGTACCGAAGTGGAGGCAGCATAAACGATAGGAATGTGCATTGTCAGGCACGGTGGTTGCACGCCTTTAATTCCAACACTAGGTGTGCTCTGTGAGTTCAAGGCCAGCCTGGTCTTTATAAGGAGCAGCCCCTAGGGATGGACATCCCCCCCCCCCCTTGCTCTGAAGCAAGTATTTCTGGCGGCTGTGCTTGTGAGAAGATCCTTGAACCCAGGTCTGGGCCCCAACACCCCCAAAGCCTGTGTGTTCATCCCAAAACCATACCCTTTTCCTTGTTGCTGTGAAGAAACTGGACAGGTTTTTGCAGACATCCACCGCAGGCTTCATCAAGGGAGGGGACTTGTTTGACTGTTGCCGTTCCTGGCTTTTCTACTAGCCTGGGATGACTTCACCGCCACCTATTTAACTATGAGTTCGCTTGACAGCCTAGCCAACTCGCTTTTGAAAATAGTAATGTTTTCCTATTTGTTTGGGAACTTTAGGGCATCATTATGCCGCAAGTTATCGTTGGGATCGCAGCAAATGTTGTCAACGTGGGAATGAATGCCTTCTTGCTGTTCGCTTTGGACCTCGGAGTGGTGTGAGTGGAAACCCGTTCATTCAACAAAGACTGCCCCTTGCCCTAGGGCTGGGGATATGCCAGTGAAGCGGGGAATGTGGACAGGTAAGCAGGCACCTAGCACTGTGAGCTCCGGTGCTCTGCATGGCAGGTAGGCTGGTGAGAGCTGACCCGTGGGCCCACAGGGCAGCAGCTAGCTCATGTTACTGGGATAGCAGGGAGCCTTGGATGGCGATCTGGAGGCTTCTGTGGTTGGAGCGGTATTAGTCCCAATCAGCAAGCTGCTGCCACCTGGAGGCTGAGGTGGGTGACAAGCAGAGGCCTGAAGGGCTTCTCCCAGGGCCTCTGAATTTTAAGTGGCTGAGCCAAATTCCTTCTTGAAGCTTGAAGTGATGAGGGCCCCATAAAGAAATAAATAAGTTAAGGGTACCCCAATAGTGTCCCGATGGCCCTTCCTCACAGAAGAGGATGCTCTAATACCCTAGTCCAGAGCTAACCTGCATATGTGATGAGAGAGTCACCCCAGCAAATGAAGACTGAACTCCAGAATTTGGGCATGCTTCAAGGCACTATGTTCTTTGGCTAGTGGGTCATGACTGTTACCCATATATATGTAACAACAATTAAAGATAAGGAGACCATAAATTTGAACGAGAGCAGGGAGTGGGTGGAGGAAGGCAAGGTAAGGGTGGGAAGCTATACACACACACACACACACACACACACACACACATGAAGTTAATATGTTAGGAATTAAAGAGAAAAAAAACAAAAGAGTAGAAAATATGAGTTGTGTCAACTGCTGAATATCTTCGCCCTGATTCTTGGTTTCCATTCACATGTTAATGTGGGCTCTGAATATCAATGAAACCATGGCAGCCCTCATTAAAGAGTAACATGGGCAGGAATGCAGTTTAGGGGGAGAGAGCTTGCCTAGCATGTACAAGGCCTGGTACCCATACTTTTTTTCCTCATGTAAGATGAAGGAGGTTGTATCAGTCAGTTTCCTGGAAGAAGGAGGAGGAGGATGGGAGGAGAAGGGGGAGGAGGAAGGGAGGAGTAGAAAGAAGAAGAAAAGAAGAAGAGAGGGAGGGAAAGAGAGAACAGGCACACACTACGAAAAAGGACTTCTGGGATGGACTTATATGCTAAGAGCTGGGTAGTCTAACAGTGGCCATATACACATTGAAGAGCCAAGACGTTAGAGGCCTCAGCTGTCCCAAACTGGCACTGAAGGCCTGGAAGCTCCTGCAGAGCCAGTGGTAGCAGGCCCAGGTTGAAAGTCCGAGGAAGCCTGACTTAGTGAGGGTTCCTGTGGCTGTGAGGAAACACCATGGCCAAAGCAGCTTGCGAGAACAGGGCTTCTTTTACTTACACCTTGACATCACGTCATGGAGGAAAGTCAGAGTCAGAGCTATGCAGAGGCTGTGGAGAGCACTGCTTATGGCTGGCTCAGCCTGCTGTCTTATACCACCCAGGGCCACTTGCCCAGGGGTGGCACCGCCCACAGTGAGCTGGCCCCTCAGGCACCAGTCACTAATCAAGGCGACCTCCCATAGGTTGTTTACAGGACAGTCTTGGAGGCATTTTCTCACTGAAGAGTCCCTCTTCTCAGATGTGTCTAGGTTTGTGTCAAGTTGACAAAAGTCAACCAACAAGAGACTGGAGTCACATGTCAGCGGGTGGTGACAACATCAATAAACACTTTCATCTCAAAAGGAAAGGGGCTTGCAGACGTTGGAATGTTCCTTCCTCTGACTTCTTTGTGTCTGGACCACCAGCTTGCTGGGTGGTGTGGCCCACATTTGGGGTGGATCTCCCCTCAATTACTGCCTCCTATGTCCACCTCTAGGCATGTCCCACAGACAGATAGAGGTGTTTTTTTAAAAAATTATTCTTAGACATCTTTTAATACAGCTAAGTTGACAACCTACGACAACTGTCATCCAGGCATTGGTCAGAACATAGAGAGGGCCCATAAGGGAAGGGGAGGACCAGTGGCCCAGGATCCCCTGTGAAGGGTGCCGAAGAGGCAGAGTCTTGGACTTTTCCTAAAGAGATATGCCCAGGAGAGTTAGGAAAAGGAGGAGCTGATACAGGGTGGGCTACTAAACAATCATGTGTGACGCTCAGACAAGAGCATGCGAAGGGAAAGTAATCAAGACGGCTGAGAGCGGCACTGCGCAGGCCCAGCATGTGTGTGTGGGGTGGGAAGCGGCACTGCGCAGGCCCAGTATGTGTGTGTGGGGTGGGAAGCGGCACTGCGCAGGCCCAGCATGTGCGTGGGGGTGGGAAGACGGCTCCCACTGGTGATGCCCAGTGCTCTGTTGATGGAAAACAAACCCGCTCTAATCCTGAGCAATAAAACCATGGCTTGGATGAGCCCTTGAGCAGAGGAGCTGGCTGGTGCCTTGTGGGATGGCAATACAGCTTCAAGCCCTTTGGTGCATCTCCATCTCCGTGGAGTCAAACAAGCCTTTCACACATGGATTCAGCCAACACACGAAAAGAAGCCGGCACAGACACTGCAAGCTCACTGCCAGCCAAAGCTTGTCAGAGGCCGTCTGTGGGCTTGTGTTTGGGAGGACACACTCGAGCTAACCCTCACCTTTTCTCCTGCAGAGGGTCAGCCTGGGCCAATACCACCTCCCAGTTTTTCCTGTCTGCCCTGCTTTTCCTCTATGTGTGGTGGAAGAGGATCCACGTTCACACCTGGGGAGGTATGTGACCCTCCTCGTTCACACCTGGGGAGGTAGATGACCCTCCTCATTCACACCTGGAGAGGTAGGTGACCCTCCTCGTTCACACCTGGGGAGATGCGTGACCTGCTCAATGAAGGTTCCCAGGCGCAGCTCTGACTTTTGAATTTCTTTCCCTCGTAGAAGTTGGTCTTTTATTTTTACCTTCTAGGAAATATCAAAATATAGAAAGCATTTGTTACTGAAAATGCAGAAGTTACTAGGGACAGTGTGACTTTGTGTTTGTGTGGTTACCAAAATAACCTTCTTTTGTTTATAGAACATGGTGGTAGATACTCGATTTTAAGGTGCATTTTAAATATAAAAAATATTATATTTTTAATATTTAATGAATTAAAACTACTAACATGAGATCCTGTTTCTGGAAAAGCATGCTATCCAACTGAAGGGCAGTTAGATTAGTGTCGTATCAACTTAAGAGAACAGACTGTTCTCTGACCAGCCAGGGCCACTCACAGCTAACTGAGGAGCCCAGAATCTTTGAGTAGACACCCACAGGCTTAACTGGATTTGTTCTTTGATTTTCCTTCCTTCCTTCCTTCTTTCTTTCCTTCTTTCTTTCCTTCCTTCCTTCCTTCCTTCCTTCCTTCCTTTCATTTTTTCTTCAGCTTTACTGAGGCAAAGTTGATAAAACCTGTACATATTTAAGGTGTGACTGTGGCTGTGACTTTTACTGTGGTAGTTTGTTTTGTTTTATGGTGCTGAGGATGGGACCCAGGGTCTCGTATATACCAGGCAAGTATGCCACTACCGACCTGCATCCCTACTGCCTTTTTTAAAAAAGTTTTTATTTTTAAAGTCTTGCTAGTTGCCCAGAGTAGCTTCAAGTTTGTGAGGCCCCCCTCCCCGTCTCAGCCTTCCTAATAGCTGGGATTACAGGTACATACTTCTGGGACAGCCCACGGTGATGTTTGGGATTACAGGTACACACCTCTGGGATAGCCCACCATGATGTTTGGATTACAGGTACACACCTCTGGGACAGCTCACCGTGATGTTTGGGATTACAGGTACACACCTCTGGGACAGCCCACCATGATGTTTGGGATTACAGGTACACACCTCTGGGACAGCCCACCATGATGTTTGGATTACAGGTACATACCTCTGGGACAGCTCACCGTGATGTTTGGGATTACAGGTACACACCTCTGGGACAGCCCACCGTGATGTTTGGGATTACAGGTACACAGCTCTGTGATGTTTGGGATTACAGGTACACACCTCTGGGACAGCTCACCGTGATGTTTGGGATTACAGGTACACAGCTCTGTGATATTTGGGATTACAGGTACACACCTCTGGGACAGCCTACCCTTATGTCTGGGATTACAGGTACACACCTCTGGGACAGCGTACCGTTATGTCTGGGATTACAGGTACGCATCTCTGGGACAGCTCACCATGAGATTTGGGCGTGTATGCGTATTATGAAATGATTGCTGCTGTAAAGTTAATGTGCCAGCATCTCACACAGCTACACACATGTGCAGAGGTCAGAGAAGGACATTAGGGGTCCGGCTCCACCACTCTTTGAGGCAGGGTCTGTCATTGTACCTGCAGCCAGGTGGGCGGCTAGCAAGCCCCGCAGCCTTCCCATCTCTGCCCCTCACAGCACGAGTGTCACAGCCATGTGCAGCCACACCTGGCCTTCTAGCTGGGGACTCAAACTCAGGTCCCTGTGCTTGCACACCAAGTGCACTTACATATTGAGCCACCTCCCCATCTCCTAATGATAATCCCAATGCCTTGTATCTTATTTAGCTTCTGATTCATTGCTTTTTAATTTCAATGATTATGTTTTAATTTCTTAACATTTTGTTTGGTTCTTTTGTGTATATGCCCATCCTTATTATAAAAGTTCTTGACTTTGAGTTTTGTTTTAGATTTTTATTTTTAATAATTTATTTATTTTATTTTGCATACATTAGTGTTCTGCCTGTGTGTATGACTGTATAAGAGTGTCAGATCTTGGAGTCATAGACAGTTGTAAGTGGCCATGTGGGTACTGGGAATTGAACCTGGGTCTGCTGGAGCAGCAGTCAGTGCTCTTAACTGCTGAGCCATTTCTCCATTTCTCCAACCCACACTGCCTTTTTTCATTTTTCAAGACAGGGTTTCTCTGTGTAGCCCTGGCTATTCTGGAACTCACTCTGTAGATCTGATGACCTTTCTCCGCCAGTGCCCTGCATGGCAGCTTCCACCATTATAAAAGCCAGACAGCAAGGAGGCAGCTTCCCAGCTTTCCAGTGTGAGCTCTCTATGTCCTGCACCCAATGTGGTCTTACCTAGTGCTGGTGCTCCCCAGACTCTATCCCTGTCCTCTCTGGGGAGAGATGGCAGCGATTGTCTGCAATAAGGGTTCCTACCCGGAGGAAAACACGTTGTAAGGACAGAATGACTGCCTCTGTACAGCAAGTGCCTGCTAAGTACCAATTAAGTAGGGTCTCCAAGGGGCTGGTGGTGCATTGTGCACTAATAGATTTGTTCCTTGCACCAGAATGGAATACAAAGAAAAAGATAAAGGAGAAACTGTGCTTTAGTTTTAGATTGATGAGAGAAATTTGGGATTTTTTTTTTAAGGTATAGAAAGGATGGGTTGGCAAGCTGGTTCAGCAAGTGAAAATATTTCTCACAAACTTGACTACCCGAGTTCGAGCTCCAGAACCCACACATATGCATACACACTCACATATGCAGCACACATATATGTGCATGCACGCACGCGCGCACACACACACACACACATACACAGACGCGCACACACAAACATCATTTTAAGAAAGAAAGGTGAGGCACTGCTTTCACTGCATCCCAAATAATCTGATAAACTGTGTTTTCATTTTCATTTGAGTCTGGAAATCGTAGAATTTCTTTCCCGGTTCCTTCACTGTCACACTGTTCAGTCTCCAGGTCTTCACATACTTTCTGCTGTTTCTCCCATGTTTTCCGATGGTCATGATTTACAGCTGAGAACTCGTGGTCTAGATGGCCTATCTGTTTGTGAGAGAAAAGTATTGAAATCACCCAACAGTACTGAATGTGGACTAATGCATTCATGGTCAGCCTTATGGTGCTTGTTTGTATAACTGGGGCCCCAGTGTTAGGTGGGTATAATTGGTATATCCTCCATACAGGTCATCCCGTTGGCAGTATTCGGTGCCTTCTTTATCTTGTTTCTGCTTGAAGTCCAGATCTGAGCACAGCTACCTTCACTGGTTTCAGCTTCTGTTTGGTTGGGGTATTGACTTCTGTGTATGATTTTCAATCTGTCATTGTGACCCCTTTGTGGGGGGAGTCGAATGACCCTTTCACAAGGGCCGCCTAAGACCATCAGAAAACACAGATATTTACATTTCTATTCATAACCGTAGTAAAATTACAGTTATGAAGTAGCAATGAAGGTTACTTTATGGTTGGGGTCACTACAATATGAGGAACTGTGTTAAAGGGTCGCACAGCCTTAGGAAGATTGAGAAGCGGTGCTTTGTATCTTTTAACTGAAGGTCAAGACCACTCACACTCAGGGTTGTTATAGGGCTTGCTGATCCCTATAACCTTTCTTTTGGTAGGGCTGGTTGTTTATTTTATTTTTTTCCTTCTCATGATCATCTTATTCATGTGTTTGTATCAGGGGCTGGATCCTTTTTTGACTGGGTCACAATTATTTTCCAGTTCTTCTTTGTTCATCTGTCCATCGATTTTTTCCCTGTGGTCTCGTGATTGAGATGTCTTTCTCTTTTGTGTGTAGGACTCCTTTAAGTGTCTTCTACAGTGTTGGTAGTCATCACGAATTGCTTTAGTTTGTGCTTCCCTCAAAATAGTTTTATTTATTAAATAAATATTTATTAAATAAAGCTATTGATTTATTTGAAACAGAAAGTCATTGTGTCCGAGGAAGCCCTGAACTTGATGTGTAGGCAAGGATGACCTTGATTATCTTATTCTCCTTGCCTCCCTCCACCTCCTGCTTGCTGGGATCATAGGCATGCATCACAAGGCCTTGTTCATGTGCTTCTGGGGACAGAATTGTATGGTCTAGGTGAGCATGTAACCTACTGAGCTATAGCCTCAGCCCTGATTCATTGGTTTTAAAAGATAACCTTACTGTATGTAGTAAGCTTGCTTGATGGATAGTTACTTTCTCATGGGTCTTTCACGTGTGTGTGTGTGTGTGTGTGTGTCTGTCTGTCTCTCGTGCTCTGTGTGTATGTGTGTGTCTGTCTGTCTCTGTGTGTGTCTGTCTCTCTCGCTCTGTGTGTGTGTGTCTCGTGTTCTATGTGTGTGTGTGTGTGTGTGTGTGTGTGTGTGTGTGTCTGTCTGTCTGTCTCTCTCCCTCTCTGTTTATAAAATCACTCTACTTTCCTGACTTTTAGGATTTTTACTGAGAAGTCCGATGTTATTCTGTTGGGATTGCCTTTGCAAGGTGACTTTTTTTTCTTACAGACTTTAAGATTTCTTTATTTTGTAGTCTTAGCAATTCCACTATAAAGTATGGAAGGGTTCTTCTCAGGTATGTCTGTTTGAGGTTCTAAATGTATCTTATTCTTAAATGGCTGCCTCTTTGCTTACATTTAGGACATTTTCTACTGTAACTTTATTGAATATTTATTGTGTCTTTTTTCTTCTGTGTTTCATGTGTTCGTGTGTAGTGAGGTATGTATGCATGATTTGTACTCAGATGTGCTTGGGTACAGTGTGTAAGTGTTTGTGAAGCTCAAGGTTGACGCTGAGAATTTTGCTCCATCACTCAACCACTTGGAGAGGAAGGGTTTATTCAACTAACGCTTCCACATCACAGTTCATCATTAGGGAAGTCAGGACAGGAACTCAAACAGGGCAGGACCTGGAGGTAGGAGCTGATGCATTGGCCGTGGAGAGGTGCTGCTTACTGACTTGTCCTTTATGGCTTGTTCAGCCTGCTTTCTATAGAACCCAGGACCACTGACCCAGGGATGGCTCCACCCGTAGTGGGCTGGGCCCTCCTCCATCTATCACTGATTAAGAAAATGCCCACCTACAACCAGAGCTTCTGGAGAAATTTTCTTAACTGAGGTTCCCTCCTCTCAGATGACTAGCTTGTGCCAAGATGACAGTTAGGCTGTGGTAAACCAGCCCACACAGGCTGTGGTGTAATGCTGGTGTGAACAGGGACACACAAACTGTTCTTCTGCATCCCGTTATTTTTCTAAATCCCATAGAACTTTTGATTCTATACCCAGAGGCAAAATGGCTGAATCATGCAGTTATTCCACCCTTGGTTTCTAGAGAAGTCTACCTTTTTTATGTTCTTAGTAACAGTATACAAGGCTTTCTGTTTCCCTGTATCTATCCATCTTTATTAATTTCTACTTTGCTGTGGGTGAAGGATGCTGTCAATAGCCTAATGGTTAGTGCCAGCTGGTCACTCACTGTGGGTGTTTGCTTATGTATTTGGTTTTGGAGACAGCTTCTCACATTGCCAGTTTAGTTCCTTCCTTCTCAAGCTGCGGCCTTCCCAGGCCTTGTATCCTGCTGGGGAAGAGGCACCCCTGTCTCCGGCTCTGTGTGATGGTCGTTGTACAGGGCATGTCTGCTTTCTCACCTGTCCTCCAGGTTGGACGAGGGAGTGTTTCCAGGAGTGGAGTTCCTACACCCGCCTGGCCATCCCCAGTATGTTCATGGTGTGCATCGAGTGGTGGACCTTCGAGATTGGGACCTTCCTTGCAGGTCTGTCCACACCCGGGGGAACCTGCACTCTGCCTGGGCAGTCTCAGTCCACACCCAGGGGAACCTGCACACAGCCTGGGCAGTCCCTGT